ACTTCCAAGTTGTACAACGTGCCAGTGATAGATGGAATTTTCTCCAGGACTTAAGAACAATAAATTACATAGTTGAACCTCTACATCTTGTGGTTCCTAACCTTTATACTATAATAGACAAAGTGCTAGTCAGTAAGCCTTTTATTTTAAGAACTACCTTCCTTCTATAACCTGATTTGTGCCACTAGTAGAGCCTTGCTTTTTAATTTTTGACTCATGTACTTTTTGTTAGTTTTGTTAGTTAAATGTGTGTCTTCTAGGCTGCAACAGTTCCATGATACATCTTCAAGGATATGAACGTGTACAGCTAAGCACAATGGATAACAGTGCATCTAAATTCCAAAATCAATCTCCATAATAGTCTGTGTGTTTCCTATTGCCAAAGGGGCCCTTTTGAGTAGTGAGAGAAGATCTTCACCCTGAAACCTACAGCGTCTTTTTTCAGCAGGAAGTAACTAAGAGAATACGCCGTCCCCTTTTCCTTATGAATCAGGGTGAAATCTCTCTCATGGAGGAGTAATAGGGAATGGCAAAGGACACATTGACAAAAGAGGTTACTCAGAACTGGCTTTGACAAGCACTGTGGCATTGGACAATTAAAACAGACTTTCAAGAGGGGGGGAAAGAAGAACTGGGGAGGAGGGTAGAGAAAATAGTGCAACAATGAATGAATGAATTAATGAAAACCCAAAATCTCTGTAAATGTTCATTAAAAATAATAAAATTTAATAATGAATTTAAAAAACCAGAAAACTTATTATTTCATTTACTTGGATACACACTCATCACCTTATGGTAGCAACAGTCAAGAAATCTAAAAACATGTTAGATTGTGCAAATATGCTGTTAAGTATGTCTTTAAAGTGCTAAAGAGTAAAGCTATCATTTTCAAGATTAGGGTAACCCTTACCCAAGTCATGTTATTTTCAATTGCTTCTCATATATTTGTAAGTTGGACAAGAATGAGGAACACCAATAAAAAATTATTGATTTTGAATTATAATGTTAGTGAAGGATATCAACTGTCTATCTCATGAGCTTCCAGAAGAACAAACAAATCTATCTTGGAGAATGTGGAACTAGAGTTCTCCTTAAAGGTAGGCCTCATCTCACAAATTCAGTGTTTTGTTAAGGGGTGCCAATTCTTGGAAAAAGACATCATGCTTGCTAAAGTAGAGGGTCAGCAAACCTCGAAGACCCTCAGTGAGTTGGAATGACTCAATGACTGTATCAATGAGCTAAACATGGCAACTACTATGAGACAACTGTAAAACTGGGTAGTTGGGGGGTGTTTTTTGTTATGTTTGTTTGTTTTTTAGTTGTACGCAGGATTGCTGTAAATCAGAATCAACTCAGTGTCATATAACAACATATCCTATTCCTCCTTGAATGAATCTCATTCAAGATACTTTCCTTTAGACTTTAACTCATATACATTTCAAGGCATATGACCATACTCATATGTATGCTTATAAGTTTCATTAACACTTTAAAGGAGCTTGAATATTAGCCACATGACCATAAAAAAGACTATTATTTTAAACTAGTAGTTTACAGATATCAGAAGGAATTGGCTGACACAGAAGAATTTCATGAAATGACATATGAGCAAGAGCTTATGTTGATGAAAGAGGAAGTTCAAATTGCTCTGAAGGAATTGGTAAGAAACAAGGCTCCAGGAGTTGATGGCATACCAATTGACATATTTCAACAAACAGACGCTGGCCCGGATGTGCTAAGTTGTGCCAAGAAATTTAGAGAACAGGGAGCTGGCCCATTGACTGGAAAAGATTGATATTTGTTCCCATTCCAAAGAAAGGTGACCCAACAGAATGTGGAATTTATCGAACAATATCATTGACATCACATGCAAGCAAGATTCTGCTGAAAATTATCCAAAAACGTTTGGAACAATATGTCAACAGAGAACTGCCAGATGTGCA